TTACCAAAGAAGCATCAATAAATTTTTTAAATTTACTTTTCAAGTGCCCCAAAGTTTAGACAGATGTTATCCTATTTTCTCTGAGCAGCTGTTCATCTGGACATGTTCCTTATTTATTGATATACTGTATTCAATGCTAGGGTCACATTTTTTAAACAGGAACTTGGCAACTTCCAAATTCTATGGTAAATATTGACATGTCTCAGCATGTCAATATTTATACTGTCAGGACTTGAAGAGTGTCTTCAACAATGGCTGCATCTTATTTCTTAGCAGCCAGTTCTTTCTGTTCCAATTGAGCACGGTCTTTCTTTATTCAATAAAATTCTCATTAACCATTCAGATAAAATTACACATAAGCTACTAGCATCCTCTCACACAAAGACCAGACTGAGCTCCTTGCTTATTTCAACATTTTAGTTACTTCTGCAAGATTAGTAAAGTTCAAAGAAACAAGGCACAAATTCAGGAGTGTCCTCCAAATAATATTTGTTTGTTTGTTTGTTTTTTGGTGAGGAAGCTTGGCCCTGAGCTAACATCTGTTGCCAATCTTCCTCTTTTTGCTTGAGGAAGATTGTCCCTGAGCTAATATCTATGCCACTCTTCCTCCATTTTGTATGTGGGACACTGCCACAGCACGGCTTGATGAATGGTGTGTAGGTCCACGCCCAGGATCTGAGCCCGCAAATCCCATGCTGCTGAAGTGGAGTGCACAAACTTAACCATTACGCCACCAGGCCGGCCTCTATTTGTTTTTGATTACTTAATCTCAAAGCTAATCATCATTTGAAAGCCATTGAAACTTTTTCAGAATTTATAGAGTTAAATCATTTTTTTAACTTTAACTCTTTTTTTGTTAGTCCTAAAGGCTAGGCAAAGTTATAAAAGATTGGTTTATAGACTGCAACAATGATGATAATATTCAGAGGACAGTTTGAATTCAGAATGCCTGCCATAAAAAGTAGTTGGAAAGTCTGGCTCATTATCTAGGATTAAAGAGTGTTTTAAATCCAAAATTAGTTTACCTAATTTTTGTGCCAAGTATCAAAGATCATGTTAACAAACTACTCATGACTCAATCAACCTTAAGAGCAAATTTCCATATCACTGGAAGAAAAATCTTTGCAATATCTTGTAAATACCATGGGATTTCCCAATGGCACACAAGCAAAAGTTTAATTTAAAGCTATTGGCAGTACTGGCATCTGGCAAAAGCATGAACGCCTCATCAGCAGTTTGGAATTCTAGCATGGATTTCTCTTTTGGGCAACGAAAATCTCAACAGTATTTTTCTCCCAAAAAGAGCACAATTTCATCAACATTTAAAATATGCTGACTATAACAACCCTCTGTTCACTGATTCCAGACATTGTCTCAGGAAAAAGCACAACTCACTTTCTCGTCACCGCTGGCAGCTTCACAAGTGACAAGGAGCAAAGTGCCCAGGGCTATAAAATGCATTAACTACCTCCCGCTCATATAAAAAGAACTATCCTTCTACTATTTTAAAGACAGCCACTTTTTTCCTAGAAAACAAGGTATAGCAAACAGAGCATTGATTTTATACTCAGAAGACCCAGCTTTAAATCAAAACTCTACCACTTCAAGGCTGAGTGACTTTGGTCATGCCATTAACGCATTAAAATGTTCATTGACTACTTCCTATGCACCAGGCTTTGACATCCTCAAGATGAGTAAGACACATTCCCAGCTCTCTAGTGAGAAACACCCAAAGAGAATTCTTTTACAAGCTTGTAAAGTGCAGAGGCAGGGTGGGAGCTCCTTTGAAAAGTAGCATGGAAGCCAACCTGACATTTCAGAGAGGCCTTCCTTGAGTTACATCTGATAATCTTAAAAGGTGAAAAAGGGTTAGGGGTAGAAGGAAAAAAGATAAGAAAAGGCACTCCAGGCAGAAAAATCTGCACGAGCAAAGGTGTGGCGGCAAGAAATAGCACAATATACAGAAATAAACAATTCAGTGTTTCAGACTGCCTGTAAATCAAGGATTACAAATTCAAATACCCAGTCAGGTTCATTCAACCAACCAAAACATATTGTGTACTTCTATGCCTCTGACAGTGTTTTAGAACTTGGCATAAGGGAACAAAACAGATAAAAATTCCTGCCTTTGTGGCGTTTACATTTTAATAGAAGGAGCCGAACAATTAAAAATACACATGATAAATATGTAAAATATATCCTATGGTGATCAGTGCTATAGTAATAAGAGAAGAGAAAGCAGGGTAGAGGGCACTGGGAGTGCAGAGGCCAGTTGGGTGTGGGATGGGGGCAAACAGTTGCAAAGCTGCAATTTTAAATAGGAGGTTGAGGTAGGCTTTATTGAAAAGGCAACATTTGAGCAAATACATAAAGGAGATGAAGGAATCAGTTGTGTGCATATCTGAGAAAAAGCATTCCAAGTAGATGAAGCAGCCAGTGCAAAGGCCCTAAGATGGAAGTGGGCCTAGTGTGTTTAAGAAACAAAGCAGCCAGTATGGCTGAAACAGAGTGAGGGGGGAGAGAATACAAAGGGATGAGATCAGAGTGGTAAGGGGAAACCAGATCATGTAGAGTCTTGTAGGCCAGTGCAAGGATGTTGGCTTTTACCGTGAGTCAAATGAGGTCATAAAAGGCTTTTAAGAAAAGAAGTAATGTTACATTCTTTTTTAATAAACTTTTTATTTTAGAATAACTCTGAATTATAGAAAAGCTGCAAAGATAATACAGAGTTCTCATATACTCCTGACCCAGTTTCCTCTAATATTAACATCTTATATGATGCATTTATCAAAATAAAGAAACCAACATTGGTGTATTACTAGTAACTGAATTCCAGACTATTCAGATTTTACCAGTTTTTCCACTAGTATCCTTTGTCTGTTCCAGGATCTAACCTAGGATAGCACACTGCGATTAGAATCTTACATTTTAATACAATTTTTTACTTATATTTTAAAAGTATCACTCTGGCTATTGTATAAGAATGGACTGTAGAGAGGCAAGGACTGAAGAAAGCAAGGAGAAGAGCTAGAATATTACTGTAATCCAAGAAATGATAGTGACCAATAACAGACATCCAAGCAAGAAACCATCACTGTACTAATGGCAGAAATAGTAGGAAACACAGTAGGTCAAAATGGAGATAAATTTTATAGAGAGAGTCAACAGGATTTGCCAATGGATTTGATGGAATATAAGAGAAAGTAGGGTCGAGGATGACTCCAAATATTTAACTTGGAGCAAATGGCAGTATAGAGTTGCCATCATCTGAGATGAGAAAGAACGGGACAGCTTTGGGGGGGAAAAAGAGTTCAGATTGTGACATCTGAGTTAGAGATATTTTTAAATCAACATGTGGAGCTGCAGAGGTCGGCAACTGGATATATGAGTCTGGAATTCAGAAAGAGAGGGGACTAGGAATATGAATTTGGGAGTCTTCAGTATATAGATGGTATTTAAAGTCATTAAGACTTGATGATATCATCAAAAGGAAGTGTAGACAGAGGAAAAGAAGAGAATCAAAGACTGAGCCCTGGAACACTTCAACAACAAGAAATCAGGAAGAATAGAAGGAAGACTGAGAAAGAGCAACCAATGAGGTGCAAGGAAAACCAAGAGAGTGTGGTGTCCTGAAAATCAAGTGAGGAAAATATATCACGGAGAAGGGACTGATCAGCTGTGTCAAAGGTTGCTGATAGGTCAAATACAGTGAGGTCCGAGAATGATCAAAACCTGGAGATCATTGGCGACACTAACAAGAGTATTTTGGGGGAGCGTGGGAGCAACAGCCATGTTGAAAGGATCTCAAGAAAGAATCGAAAAGAGGAATTGTTTGGAGCATACAGAACTCCTTAGAAGATTTTTGTTCAGAAGAGCCATTTCTTTAAATGGGGATGGAAGTGGAGAAAGGTTAAGGTGGCATTTCTTAAGGTAAAAGAAATAACATGAAGGTCAAACAAAACTTTTATTGTCTTAATCTAAGAGCCATGGGGAAAAGAATAAAGATGGGGGGAAAAGGAGAAAGACAAACACCAGAACACTAAGAACCTCTACCTCAGACTATGGAGGCTATAATCTGATAGTTCTATCAGAGAAAACAAGCAGTTAATTAAAACCATTGTCTTTTAACATATGTGAATATCAGTGAATAAAAAAAGGGAAATCATATAAAAGGAAACTATGAACATTATCAATACTAGACACAAAGTAAAAAGAGAAAAGGGGGAGAAAGTGGTCTAGTGGTATAAAGGCACTATCAATTTAATTCAAAAACCTTTTATTGAGTTCCCAAGAACTATGCAAACTGAACACGTCAAGGCGCCTGTTTGTCCATCTAAAATATGCGACGACAAAAACGGGTGGAAAATAGAGCCTCAGTTAATGGGACTATTAAAATTGGAGAAAGATAAATAGTACTACTACCGATTAAAAGAAAAAGTTGGCATGTGATTCGTCTTGCTGGTGGATCACTTCTCTAGAGTACCTAATCAACTTCCGGACTCAGGAAAGGCCAGTTCCTTTCCATTTGTTACCACGTGAAGTTCTCTCCTGACTCCAAAAGGCCTAGCACGTTTCAGCCCCAGATGGAACCCATCGACAGTTTACAAAAAGCTGAGGAATGGGCGAGAAGGCCAGTGTTAGAAACACAACCCAACAGCCTATTTAACATAACCCTCCGGATTCAAGTGTCCTCCTAATCCCGCAACCATTACAGGGCATTTCACAGGCGCTCTGCATTCCAAACAAACCCTCTGCAAAGCGAGAAAATGAAAAAGGGCCCAGCAGGTGCACGCCCTGCGACCCCGTGAGCCCACAAATGGAAGGCCCGGGAGTTTACACATTGAGGGGGATCCGAGCCGGGAAAACTCCGCGCACTGCGAAATTCTAGAGGGAAATAACAGGGAACTTAAAAAAGACAAAAGAAGGAAAGAAAAAGAAAAAAAGAACAGGACTACTGACTACTATTACTTAAAGAGGCAGCCCCCACTTCCGGACCCTACCTCTCCGAGACTCCACTTCCGGTCTCTTCCGAAAGGCCCGCTCCCACAGACAGAAGTCCTGCAGCCAATGAGAGCGTCAGCTACTTCTGCAGGCCGCCTGACGTCATTTAAATCCCGCCTTTTCCGGTGGAGAGGAGCCTATCCTCGCGCTTGAGTCGCGCGGCTCAGGAGGAGGTGCCCCGACGGGCCCAACCGGATGGCGGGAGGGAGCGAGACGGCAGGCGGGCCGTGCACGCCTCTTCCGCCTTGGGCCCGGAAGGGTGATGTGGCTGGGGCTTCGCCGGCCTCACTATGGTAAGAACCGGGGCTGTGGGGTCTCGGCTGAGCTTTGTGAGGGGGCTGTGGGGCCGAACTAGAGCTGGAGGGTTGGGCGGTGGCCCTGGGCGCGCGGACTAGGGAACTGTATCACTAGCTTGCTTCTCCTGGGGCTCGGAGGATGCACAGGCCCGGAAGCCATGTGGCCCCTGCACCCCAACCTGGGAGAACCAGGGCGACCGCCCAGGAAAGACCCCGGGGTCGCGGAGCCTTGCCCCTCCCGCAGAGGCCACTTTGCTGACTTTTTTCGAAGAAATGCGCAGGTTTGGCTTACCCCGTCGGTTCCATAGACTGTGGTGTTTGGCCGTCTGAGGCATTAGAGCTTCTCGAGTTTGCGCTTGTTCTTTTGCGTTTCCTTAGCTCCCTACGGGCCTGAGCCGGGTGTTTATTTCATTGTTCTCAAATAAACCCCAAACTCCACACCTTGTCACCTGTTGAATTAGTGGCCTTTCAGGCCCCTTCTGCTGCATTCTCTCAAGCTTAAAGGTGCTACTTTACAAACAGTAGATTTTAATGATTGGAGGTCTCTGCAGAGGTGGTTTGTCTCCTAGGAGCCTAATATGTTTGGAGTGGTGCCTGGCCTCAGGCCTTCCTCCCCTCCCCACACATTATTGAGGTTGTGTGTGTTATTTGGTGCTGTTGCAGATTCCTTTGATAGTTTGGGCCTTTTAGGAAAGCTTGAAATAGATCATGAAAATTTCCAAAAGACATGCTTACATTTCTAGGCTGAGAAAAAGTCGTAAAGCTAGAATGGCCAGAGGACAGATGTATATAAGATCTCACAACCTATGTCTGCCGGCGTTTTACCTTTGTTATGGTGAATGAGTCTACACCAGGCCCTCAGGGAGACTTGATGAAGTCCACGTGCCAAATGTTGCGTTTACGAGCATATTTCTGGGGAAAGGATGCGTGCCTTTTATTATAGTATCAAAAGCAACCATGACCCCAAAACTATGCTGTGAAAAGTTGTTGAGCTTGTGTTCCCAGAAGTTCCTGCAGAATCCCACACAGCACAAAACTCTCAGACATTTAATCGAAAACGTTAATTGTTGCTTGCTTTAGGCCTGCTACTTTGATTATAGCTGGGGCATAAGTCACAGTCTGTCCCCTGGAGAAGAGAGGATAGCAGTTTATTGGCAGTTTATTCCTTCCTTGGCCAAGGATATCTCCAGCTTCTTTCCCCGCCTACCACATGATAGGCTGGATACCCTTGCTCTTAAAGAGTGTCATTAGTGAGCTGTTATTTAACTTAGAAAATATGGTTCCTTTTTCAATTTAAAAAGACTAGAGAGACTGTCACTCTTAATTCTTTTAAGTCTTCTATCTTCCTAGAAGCTGAAGTTGAATTATTTTACTCATAGTACAAGTCAAAGATATACATATTCTTTTCATCATTTCGTTGTCTTATGTACTAGCTGAAAGCAGGACGTATACCATGTTTAAGACTATTTAAACTCTCTGGCCATACTTGTTTTTTCCAAAGTAGCAATAATAGCTTTCATTTATTAGCACTTGATATGTGCCAGGCTGTGGTCGAAAAATCAGTTTATAAGCATTTTCTTATTTCCCAGCTCACAACAACTTCTGAGTAAATATTTATAGGTGAAGGAAGTCAGGCACAAGGAGACTGATGTGCTTGGGGTCGCACACCTAGTGCGAGTCCTAGAAGCCAGGACTCAAACTTATTTTAATGTCTAGATGCTAGAGGTCTTCACGCTGTTGTTAACAGAAACAACATAACTGAGGGTAAAGCAGGTCTTAGTGATGTGTTGCTCTCAAATATGTTATGCCAATCAGACCTGAGTGGATACTAGAAACAACTGCCAGGTGATTAATTTTTCATTCCTGCTCTGTTCCTGTGAGATTAGGATGTCAGCATTTTACAGAAAGTACATTGTAGTTGGAAGAGCTACACGATGAGGTTTCCTTTTTTTATATAATTTTATTTATTTATTTATTTATTTATTTTCCCCCAAAGCCCCAGTAGATAGTTGTATGTCATAGCTGCACATCCTTCTAGTTGCTGTATGTGGGATGCGGCCTCAGCATGGC